TATATATAAAAAAGTTATGTGAAACTGAATACCACCACCAAAAATGCAATTAGGACAAATATAAGATTTTTCCCTATTGCACTCCTTGAATTTGGTGCACTTCCCTGACTCCATTGGGAGGAGAGTCCAAGCCCCTAAGATTGTTTGATTCTTGGCTTGTGTTTTTAGATTCCATTGATTTTGGTCATACATACTTCAGGCAGAATTTGAACTGAGTATTCTGAAATGTGTGTCCATGTACAGGCACACAGACAAAAAGAAAAAAACCCACCACTTTTTAGGGAATTTTGGATTTCAGCTGCTTCTTCACAAATATGGAATTTAACATTTCTTTCATGGATTTCTTAATACTTTCACTGTATTGCAAGAAAGTATTCAAAAGTGCTATTAGAGTAATACCATGTCAGGTAATTTAGGCTGACTTCTGAAAAACAGCTGCCAATTAGAAGGATTATTGGATAGGAACATTTTCCCATCCTCTTCTCCCAAGATATGTGATAAATTTAGCAAAATTTTTAGCAATTCTATTTAGAGAATGGAAACATGCACCACCATCTAAAGCCATCAGAGAAACTAGAGTGTTTTCTGACAAACTTTATAGTCAGCCTCTTTGTTTATCAACCAAGTTTCTACTCCATAACTTTTTTCAGTAGAATTGGTCATAAAACATACTTTGATTTTTGTGAAAACTTTAAGAATAGGTGTGGATTTTGTTGCTTTATAATTTAAAAAAAAAAAAAAAGGCTTTAGCCTTTTTAAACATATAGAAGTTTTCAATTTGGAAGCTTTTTGTTGTTGGGACGACATGAGCTTTAATTTAGAATTTATAATTTTTTTTTTTCTATGTGCTAAATAAAGTGTTAGCTAGTGCAAGGTCCCCTGCTAGCAGCTATGATATGGAAGTGCACCTAAGAATTTTCTAGGTTCAATCCATAGTCTTCCCTATATTCCTCAAGCAATCTAAACCAGTGCTATATTTGGACTACATCTTAACACAATGGTACTGGATTTTATCTTAATTTTAACATATATATATATATCTGTTATTGAAGAAATGAACATATGGAAGAAGATTCAAAGGAAGAATTACTGGATGTTCTGGAATAGTGTTCTCTTGCAGAGCAATTCTCTTATTGGAGAGAACAAATTTTCCCCAGCAAAAGCTTGTTACAATAAAACTTAGTTTGGATTAAAATCCTCATGGGTCAAAAAAAAAAGTCTACTCAGCTACAGAGATGAACAAGTTGGGTAAAAAGTCTGCTAAGCAAGGGAGGAGGATGTTGTACATACGTTTGATTACTTAAAACACTCTTTGGCTTTATGCCTAACAAGATATACAACAATAAATGTGCCATAAACTTAAGTTATTGCCACTAGTTCATTGTGAGCAAAGAAGCATTTAGTAATGTTAAAGGGCACAGTATTGTGAATTGTAGCTGTTGTCATTGCTGTCACCCCCTTCCCTAGTCATCTTCCCCAAATGTCTCATCAAACATCGTCTCCATGTTTCACTGTTGCTCTGTGCTTCCATGCAGGTTTTTTTTGTTTGCATTGTGCTCCTTCTTAAGAATAATAGTAACAATAAAAGACAAAATAGTATTGAAAAAAGAGGAGCATTCATTATTATTATTTTCTTCTGAAGGTGGTCAAAATTTTTTATTGTTTATACAGATAATAAATGGAAATGAAATTGAACGGGTAGAATACATTGAGGTATTTTGCTTGCTTGTGTTTCAGGGAGTTGATTTCATTCTTTTCCACATTGGTAAGGCTGGCTGGATTGTTAGTTTGTGCCAACTTAGCCTCTTAGTCTTATGCTTCAAAAGACAAAATAAATAAATTTTATATATATATATATACACACACATATATCTATCTCCCAGTTCACTTGAAGGTGTTTATGTGCCTGTCACCTTGGGATGTCAGACCTTAGTTTCATCCCTGTTTCTGATTTCCACATGGTCCTGGGCAACACATTTAACCTCAGTACCTTGACTCCCTGCTGCAGTGCCTCCTCCAGCATGTCCCAGAGGAGAAAGCACTGAGCTGCTTAATAGCTGTGAAGTGCTGTAGGTACTCAGCTGGAAAAAGCTGCACGAGTGCAGGATGCTGTTTTTCTGCAGCAAAGGAGCCACCCTGGAATGGGTGATACCAGAATAATTATTATTTCAGAAGCCTGCTCTAACAGTTTGTTTAATGAGTTGTTTTGTAAAAATAACATGAGAATTTAAGTGCTCGTCTCTCTTTTTTACTCTGAAGTAAAATGAGTTCTTGCTTCCTGGGTGTCTTTTGCTGTAAGGTGGATGATATGTATGGAGATTTTTTTGTGGTTTCAATTTTTTCTTATAAGCCACATAGACGAGTGTTTCTGGGTGCCAAAGGAAAAGAAAACTGAAATAAAAACCAGCCCAAAGGCCGGGTTAGAGTTTTGACCATTTCTGATGAATGTGAGCTGTTCTAACTTGTGCAACTGAATGGTGGTATAAGGAAAAGATCTGAAATGTGCAATGTCACATTGCTTTCCTAAATTAAAATCCTTAAAATTACACTGACTGTCACATTCCCTTTTGCATTTCTTCTTTGACTTCAGTCATGTACAGTGAAAGGGTGACAAATAAGCCCCTTGATATTGTAATCCTGCAATAGAGTGGTAATTGCACTTGAGAGGTTTTATTTCTTATACAGACCTACTGTTAGCTACCTTGAGTTTTCTGGCTTTAAGTGTTCGTCTAGAACAAAAGCTCAAAGTGGTTTCTCAGTGCAGTTTTTTTAAAAGCCACTCAGTCATTGTTTGTAAGTTTTGTTGCTGTAGTGATATCTGAGAGATGATGTGGACCTTGCCCTGCAGAACTGTTTTTCTAAAGAATATCCACTGCAATATTAATGCCGTGGGCTGACTCAGGATAGAAATCCTTTATTCTTATCCTTTTGATCTCCCTGTTTACGTATTTGAAATGCAGAAGTTATTAACTTTTCATAGCAGAACTGGGAGCACCTGAGGATGCTGACAGGGGACCCTAGGGGTGCTGGATTCAGAGAACTATGTGGTGCTGCTGATGACACTAATCCTCTTGGTGGCTTTGTTTCTTTATTCTGTCTTCCAGGCTCCCAGTGTTCCCGACTACCCTCCGGCTGATGGGTATGCATTCAGTAACACAGTTTACAAGAGAGGGCCTCTGCTGGACCAGGGGGCAGCTGTTGCTGCCTTTAAGCAGACTGTTAGCCGACATGTAGATAGGTAACACTGACTCAGCGGCGGCCGTGGTGCTGTGGATAACTGTCCCAACTCCTTCCTGCTGGGGTGGTGCTTTCTGTAAAAGCCTCTGGCTGTGTCCACAGCAGCTCGTTATTTCTATGAGGAGGTGATTCTGGTTAGCAGTGGGTGTTGTGTTCTTGCTTCTCTAAGTCATTAAGACTCTTACTATGTTTTCTATGAGCTACCCTCTCTATGTATGCTGTTAAATTGATGCTTCTGTCAAAAATCATATAGAGGAATTGCAACCCAACTGAGAACACAGAATCCTCCTGTTTGGGTTCAATTTTTATTTTTGCTTTGTTTCATGTTTTTAAATGTACTCTTTACTCTTTTTAGAACTACGAAGAATGACAAGTCTTCTCTGAGATTTACCTGTCCTTGTTTTGAATGATTGTTTGATTTGTTTAGCTGCTCACTTAGTGCTCCATAGTCTCCTGTGTTTTGTTTTCTGGGCTGGTACATAAATACCCACTTTCATAATAGTAGCTCCTAATTTCTTCCATTCTCTTTCAAATGTTACAGAAAGTGCTATGTTTGCATAGCAGACAGTGTCTTTTTGCACATCCTCTTTCATCCCCTTCGTTTTAGCCTAAATCCAAACAGCTTGACAAAATCAAGCACAGTGATGCTTGGAGTCTCTGCCTTGTCTGTGGGGAGAATTTACACTAGCAGAAGCTGTGGAAGTAAATAGCTACAGCAGTGTTGGCATTGCTCCCCCCATATGCAAACCATATTCCATATACACCATCTGAACAGTATATTGTCTTTTGTGCCATGGAAAATGTTCAAGTTGTTGAGATCAGGTTGCTGGTTAAAACAGCACTGATACAATCCTATGTGCTAAAAGATCCTGTTCTTAATCTGCTTGCAGACAAATTCCCATGTGGTGTGCAGACTGAATATTCGACTCTTTTCCTGAACTTCAGATTTATTCTTCATAATTGCAACAGAAGTAGTAGTCATCTCTTAATCATTTTCTAAAATATGGTTACTTTTTGAGTTCTTGTCTCAGAACCAGTCAACTTGACACAACCTTCCATTTGTTAATTGGTTCTTGAAACATATAAGTGCCTGACAGGAGCTCATGGCCCATGTTCTGAGGATGCTGCTGTTGATTGCAACAGAGTTAAACTGAAATGTAAGCATTTTTTAAAAATTCTCCCTGAGTTTTTTTTTTTCTGAAGGGGTTAGAGTAGTTAGGTGCAGACAAAGTAGGAAGACACAGTGAAATAAGTTTGGAAAGGTCATCTAAAAGTAAAAATACCTCCAGATGTACACTAGTTATATCCCTGAGCCAGCTAGAAATAAGTTCAAATTATATAAATTTTGAGTGGGTGGCAGAAAAAATTTTGGTTACTTACACATCTTTCAACCCCAGACAGTTATTCTGCAGGCTGGGGTTCATCCCGTGTATTTCACTCTCTCCTTAAACACTTAGTGATTTGTTTTTCTTTCAAAATAATCTTTCAATCTAAATATGACTCTTTCCTCTGCTCTTCAATTCAAGTGAGACAGTTCTCCACAGCCATGCAATAGCTAGGCAACTGTTAGATTGCTCAGGCACACCTGGGACCCACGGTGACACAGCACCAACATCAGCAACCATCTGCATTCAAAGCCCTGTGCTGTGATGTTTTGTGCCACATTCCAAACCATTGATTGCTTCATGTTTTCATTATCTGTTTGGGTTTTTGTTTATTGTGGGTATTTTTGTTTGTGTTTTGTTTTGGTTTTTTTGTTTTTTTAACTTTACTACCTGGTATGGATTTAAGTTGTTGGGTGGGATTTGCAATAAGTGAATAATGTTGCTGTTTCTTTTGGACTTGTTTTGAGGGGACTGGGGATGCATCTCAACTTGAAGAGGTACAACATCAAAAAAATTGGTAGCTTCTTACTCAAAGGCATTCCTCATGAAACAGAAAAACACAGATTTAAACAGTGGTATGCCTTGTTCTACAGTCATAGAATCATTTCAGTTGGAAGAGACCAGCAAGATCATAAAGTCCAACCACTAACCCAGCACTTCCAGATCACCACTAAACCATGTTGGTGACTCCACCAATTCCCATGCAGCCTGTTCCAGTGCGTTACAACCCTTTCTGTGAAGAAATTTTTCCTAATTTTCAAACCTAACATCTCCTGGTGCAACTCAAGGAAGTTTCCTCTTGTTCTATTGCTTGTTACTTGGTAGAAGAGACTGGCACCCAGCTCGATACTACCTCCTTTCACGTCACTGTGGAGAGTGATGAGGTCTTCCCTGATCCTACTTTTCTCTAGGCCCAGTTCCTTCAGCCACTGCTCATAAGACTTGTGCTCTAGGCCCTTCACCGACTTTGTTGCCCTTCTCTGGACACACACCAGCACCCCAATGTTCTTCTTGTAGTGAGGGGCCCAAAACTGAACATAATATTCAAGACGCGGCCTCACCAGTGCCAAGTACATGGGGATGATCACTTTTCTAGTCCTGCTGGCCATGCTCTTTCTGATCAAGCCAGGATGCTGTTGGCCTTCTTGGACAGCTGGGCACATGGCTGGCTCATATTCAGCCAATTGTCAACCAACACCCCCAGGTCCTTTTCTACTGGGCAGCTTTACAGCAACTCTTCCCCAAGCTTGTAGCCTTGCATGGGGTTGTTGTGGCCCAAGCGCAGAACCTGGCACTTGGCCTTGTTGAGCCTCATACCACTGGCCTCCAGCCATCAGTCCTGCCCATCCAGTACCTCTGTAGAGCCTCCCTACCTTCAAGCAGATCAACACACTTGCCTAACTTGGTGTCATCTGCAAGCTTACTGAGGGTGCTCTCTATCTCCACATCCAGATCATTGATAAAGATGTTAAGGAGAGCAGGCCCCAGTACTGAGCCCTGGGGAGTACCACTTGTGACTGGCCCACCAAGTGGATTTAGCTCCCATTTACCATAACTCTTTGGGCCCGGCCATCCAGCCAGTTTTTTATCCAGCAAAGCTTACCCCTATCCAAGCCATAAGCAGCCAGTTTCTCCAGCAGAATACTGAGGGAAGCAGTGCCAAAAGATTTACTAAAGTCTATGAATGGACCCTGTTTGTAACTGCCAAGAAGTTATTTTTCATTTTTAATTGATACCATCAAGTCTGACAATATCAAGTTAGTGTATCTTATCATCAATTAAGAAAACCATTCTACAGTAGATGAACGTTTTTTAGAGTTTAATTCCATTAGTGCTGATGGCAAAAATTTGTCTAATATGTATTTTAAACAATTTATGATGAACACTAGAAACACAGCTTCATACAAAACACAAGATATAAATGATATACTAAGTACAGTCATTTGTTTAGATGGTAAATGGTTGTTTAACCTACTGTAGGAAAACAGACCCAATACAGGGTGCATGTTTATTTTAAAACAATGGGGCCTGCTAATCTAAGTTGTTATCATACATCTTGCAAGCAGTGAACTGATAGAGTTTACTAGTTCTTGAGCTCAGTTGCATCTTTGGTTTTCTTTTTTTTGTTATGAATAGATGGTTCTACAACAACATCATGGTATGGTAGGCTGGGTATTTTTGTTTAAATGCTTTGCAGATTATTGGAAGAGGGCATTTTATCTTTTTATTTGCTTGAATGTCTCACTGAACCATAGTCTGATCTTTACTTTGCAGAAACTACGAAGCACACAGTAAAGCACAGACCAAGAAATATGCCAAATGCAAGTATGAATTCATGGCAAGAAACAACAGTGAGCTTTCTGTCGTGAAAGAAGAGATTGTAGAGGTAATTTTTTTTCTTTTTCGAAGAGAAACCATGAATTTCTGGTACTACTTAGAGCTGAGGGTACCTTTTCTGTGGACACTGTGGCTGTCCTTAATGGTTACTTCAATGTGTTTGATTTACCTCTCTTAATATAGAAAGTTCAATTAAATTTGTTTTGCATCATAAACAAGTTAAATGGAGGTTCTCCATTGACTTATGAATTCATTCCATACAGACCCATACTAGAAATATATTTCTGTGTTTCTTCCATCTTCTCTGGTGTTTTTAAAACCTTCCTTTAGTGGTATTTAAGTACTGGGCTCTGGTAAACACTGTCTGTGTACACACAGGGCATAGCATAGTGAAACACTGTCCTGCCCTGGAAGAGCTGGTACCCTGAAAGCTAGACACATTGGGAAGGGAGGGAGCAACAAAGAGAGAAGATGTTGTGTATGAGATTGCACAGCAGGCAGGTGGATTTCCGACTTCTTCTGGCCAGCATGCTCCTGTTCCCTGTTTACTCAGAAGTGCTCTCTCTCCAAATTTGTGCTCTCTTAAAATGATGCACTTTTCCTTGGGTTATTAGTAGTTATTTACTGCTTTTGTCAACAGCATGAAGACTGTAGAGATGACAGCCTCTCTGCACAAGTACTTGATTTTCATATGCTGTCTTGTCCAGCACGTCTGTGTTGACAGAAGTTCATTACACACTTTTCTTCCTTATCCTTTCTTGAGAGACACGTTTTGAAAAGTGCATTATGACCATGTAGAATTAATGATGGTGATAATGAAGGAAGCCTACAGGGGTTTCTAAAGGATGCTCATGTAAGATCTGTTGGCAATTGCAGAACCTGGTAGAGCTGTAGTTTTATTTTGAAATTATGCAGTCTGAGTACTGCCCTGAGGAAAGTCAGAAGAAATAGTTAATTAATTTACCAAATTATTTCAGATTCTGGATGACAGAAAGCAGTGGTGGAAGGTTCAGAATAAAAGTGGCAGCACAGGCTTTGTGCCAAACAACATTTTGGACCCTCTGAGGAATCAAGAAGGTGGTCCAGGGTGGTCAGAGCCTGCATATACCCGCGCCATCCAGGTACCACCTGCTCCCTGGGAGCAAAACTTTCTTTTGAAGTGTGCACGTGTGTGTGTGTGAAGGAGGAGGAGGTTCACAGCCAGGCTAAAATACCTGCATGTTCCACCAATATGTCAAGAATTTTGTATTTCTTGTAAAAGCTGAGGCTGATTTCTGTATTGCATAGAGCCTAAAGTGAGGATAAAGTTGAAAGATACAGCAAAATGTTTTCCCTTGGAGGTTGGTTTTTTTTTGCTTAATTGCTTAATTGCTTAGAGGTGGTAGGGTTGATCCTAATGGATGTGTATGTATTTAATTGCAATTATCCTTTGTGGATTGATAGCTCTTGATGCCAAAGAAGGAGTTTGAATTATTTAAGGTAGGGTCATCTATGTTTCTCCTAGGAGAGTGAATGCTAGCTTTCCTTTTTATTTTATATCTTTGTGTGCCTCTATCTTAGTCTTGAATTTCTTTAAATATTGTCATTTTGTAGTCATAAAAAGCAGACATTTTTCCTTTTGAATTCACAAGGAAGGTATTATTAAATTACTATGCCTGTGCATCAATAGCACTGTAGTCTGCTGACCTAATTTTGGTTTTCTTTCTTTCATGATGTGGTGTGAAATTTAGATTGCTGTTGTTGTTTCTTTTATATGTTGAAGAGAAATAGAAGGTAAAATATTAACAAAAGAAAAACAAAATTGAATATTACATCAGTGCAGTTGCCCACCTGAGTAAAGGTACAACTTTATCCTCTGTAATGTGTATTTTTAGACAACATTTAAGTGGAATAGAGGCTCATAAAATAAGAGGTTGTATTTTCTAAGACACATTTCTTCTCTTTTATTGCTAACGATTTTGAAAGGTTAGGCAAACAATTTTGGATTAAGCAGAAATTCTAAGCCTGACTGAATTGGACTTCTTCAGTCCAAATTCAAACCAAACTTCTGTTGAAACCTGAAGTTAAATGTAATTTTATTTAATCTAGTATTCATTTTTTGTGCCTAAACACTGCGGCTGCTGATTGAAAATGAGAAATGCCATAATATTGACTGTCTCTGCTGCAAGCTTATCTAAAAGTGCCAGCTGAAGTTGTTACTGTGCTATGTGTATGCAGCTATTGTGAAAGCTGCAGCTTTTGTAGTATTTCCAGTTCTGCCATGGATATGGAAAACCTCTTGAGAAGCAGGTCCTTGGCTCTTTCTGGCACAATAATGTGGTAGACCTGTCTTGAGCTTGATGGGCTTGAATCAGACCTTTTCTGAGTTTTTGCTATCCCTAACTGTTTGCCTATAATGTACAAGCTCATTCTAAATTAATTATAGTTTTTGCCTGTCAGTGAAATGAAGCATGCATCTAGAGTGCTTTTCAAATTCTGATTTAAAGATCTGATGTTTTGTTTTCTTCAGGTGCATGTCGTTTTGTGTGTTTTGAATTTTGCCATGAAATCCTGAGCAGACTGAATACGGTTTTGAGTAGAGATTCTTACACTGTTCTTTGTAATGCAGTGCAGGTTTTGTAGTTTTCTATTTGAAATAATGAGATGACATGGGAAATAATAAAATAATTTTCACAAAGCATTCTCCATGGACCTATGAAAATTAGGGTCAGAGAACAACATTTAAGATAATTTTGTTTCTTTCCCTCTAGCATGTTGTTCCCTACAGTCCACGGTCTGTTAGCTTTATCATATTCAAATATGAGCTTGAAATACTGTGAAATTATTTAGGAATATAATGAATCACACAGGATAAAAGGGAGTCTTTACCCACATGTGTCAGTAGTCTTGTTCTCAACTTCATGGTGATGATTATAGTTTTAGCACTTGTGAGCGTACTTATTTGTCTCTTTCCCTGTGATAGATACATGGTTCATTTGGGATTTGTTTGCATAACCTTATTTATTTTCATAACAGTGCTATGAGAGACAGCTACTATTTCAGAGAGAAATGAGGCATTGAAGGGATGACTGCCTTGCCCAAGGTCAAGCAGGACAACTTGTGGGTAGAGCAGGAAATTGAAGCAGTTTCTACGGTGCCTTTGCCAGACCCTGAGCACGAGCAGGCTCAGTGCCTGCTGCTGTGCAGCTTTCGCTGGTCTCCTAAGTTGTCTTTGGCTTTTGAAAAACTGCTTGCAAAGTAGCCTTTCTGCTGTGGTGAGCCACAGCTAAATGTTGTGTACAAGGTCAATGTATTTCTTTACAGACTAATGGCCTTCAAGACACAGCTAGCATAGGGATAGTTCCAGATTACTAAAAAGGATTATTTTTTCATTCAGTTATTCTGTAGACAGACACCCTTTCTCTGAGATGGATGCATCATTATTACCATTATTCTCAGAGCTGCAAAGTTTATTTTACTCTCATTCTGTTCCCTGACTTAGTGACCTCTGAGTCCACACTCTAGATTAGATCCTGATTATTTTCCTTCAGTCCCTTTAATGATCCAGGTTCCAGGTAGCTACTTGAAAGCACTGAATTGCCTAAGAGGATACTTGCAGGAATAGTTGCAAGCGATACCCTAATTATTTCATCATCTTTGTGAGTCCAAGGCTGCAACATTGTCTTTCTTCTGTTCAGTTGAATTCATTCCAGATTTACTGCATTTTAGCTTGTTTGGTGCTTTCATACATTTAGGAGATAGTTTTGCTGATTGTTTATGTTTTCCAATAATATTAATTATTATTTATCGGAGTTTCCTGTGGTGTCAGTCATTTAATCTGCCTTTTTATTGTGAACCAGCAGTGGTACTTCACCAGCCCATTGTGCCTGAACATAAACAGTTTCCAAAGCATTCTGATTTCTTCTTTTGTACAAGTATTGCTGGTGAACCTGAAAATAATTAATCTTTCTATTTCCTATTTACTCTACAGTTTATTAACTTTTTTTAATGCTCTTGAAAAAGAAATTTGGGGAACATAATTGGAATAGAGATACATCTCTTAGCAGGCTTCTTAATTAATCTCATGACAATCTTTGTGAGGTGAGAGTTATATTATCAGTGATGTGTATGAAAGCCACATGCAGTCTTATAGTCAAAACCATGACTGTCCACAGAAGTGTGACATTATCTGTAAGAGACATGTTTATGGTATGTTCACACCATGACAAAAGCCTCCCCCTCACTTGGGACAAGTGTCCTTTGCATTTCTTGGCGATCTACCATCAAAACCTTTTTTCCAAGTCTCTTTGTTTAGCAGCTCACTTACAGTATCTCTGTGGGAAGTTGTTTCCCCTAAAGTACAGCACTTGTGCTCCAAGGTAGTGTCAGATTCAGATTCCTCTTTTGTCAACTTGTATCTTTCCTGCAGATCACAAAGTGTTTGATAATGAAGAGATGCAGTTGTCAGGTGTTCATTTTGCAGTGACCAAAGAGATGTCATAAATTTTGGCCAATAGCCAGTATCTCTTCTACCTCATTTCATATCAAATGCTCTTCAAAGTTGCCATCAGACCAAATCATTATGATGGCTTTAAAAAAAAATAAAGGTTTTTCTTGTCCAATTAAACATTGATCCTATCCCAAATTATGGGGTTCCACTCCTTCTTCAGAAATGTATTGAATAATTGTAAAAGGGATTTGAATAATGATAGGAATTAAGACCTCAGTTTGCCCATATATTTTTTTTTTTAAGTGGGGATTCGTCCTAGCTGGTACCTGTTTGAATAAGTAAATTCTACCTAAATTTCTCCTTCTTCCATCCTAATGTACTTCTTGCTTTCCAGTAAGATTCTAGCAAGGCAGTTTCATAAAACAACATAAAATCTTTGCACCTCACAAAGACCTAGTCAGGTGTCTTTTAGTGGGGATTTTAATAAGGAGCTCTTTGACTCTGCATAATAGCTGAGAGCACCAAAGGGAATTTGGCAAAAGACCTCACTTGAAATTTGCTCTTCCAGTCTTGGGTGCCTCATTGTCCCTTTGACAATGTGAAGACAAGTAGCTGGTTCTCTCCTCTCTTTTAAAATGAGTCTGAAGAAAACATCCAAACCACAATGCTGTTGACAGAACTGAGGCTGAATGCTCTGCAGCCCTCTTGGTGAGCTGTCACTGTGCACTTAAATGTTCAGAAAGAGAGTAAATGGGAAGCTCTGTGTCTATCAGCTTAAGGAGAACATTTCCCAGCACTGATGCTAGTTATTTTATCCAGGGCCTCTTTAATGCTGTTTGTCTTTGCCATAGTTTGAATACACATATTCCCTTTTTTTGATGCCAAAATGCATTTGAAAATAGGTTGTTCCCATTTTTTTTTTACAATGATCAAGAATTAGGGTTAATATCATTAGCACTTTTACTCAAACTTATTATTTTGCTTACTTTAGAAATAGATCAAATCATACTGAATCTTGATTTTTGCAAGACGTATCCTGTAGCGTGCTGATAAAGAGTTTGGGGATCTCTTTTTTTTTTTCCTGTAGAAACAAAGATATTTTTTGGGAAAAAAAAAATATGGAAAAATAAAAAATTCTACTCCCAGCCAGATTTTCTGATATATCCAGATTCTTAACGAGTGTGTATCATCACTGTTCCAAATAATTTAAGGGATTCATTCCAATTTACATAAGCTGAGAATCACAAATTTATTCTTAACATAAAAAAATATGAGGAAGAAGGAAAAACAAAGCACAAAACTGCTTGTAGTTCTTATGGGTGTCAGCAAATTAGTGAATTCATGCCTGTCAGCAGTGGCCTTTACCTCATTTTCTAAGCTATCCAACATTTCTTAAGCTAAAATAAAGAAGTTAATTTTTAAATACATGCTGTGCCTTAATTCTAATTGTTCTACAGCTGCAAGTGTTCTCTGCATTCACATTATGATCTTAGATCCATTGTTGTTTTTTTTTTATTTGGGTTTTGGTTTTTATTAAACCTCTTTCTAAATTTCTGTCTGGGTAGGTGCTTAGGAAAGAGCTCATTGCTTATATGGCGTCACATATGTATGTTTTATAGTCAATACTTCATTATTCAAAAGAAGAAAATGAGAATGACTATGTGAGTTGCTTAATGAGTAAGAAGAGGTAATTATTAGCACTGATGTTTCTTTTCTTTAAATTGCTAATGTGTATGAAATTTCAGGAGTGATGTCTAAGGCAGTTGCTTCTTAACTTTCTAAACAATGCTATTTGATGTGATTTACTCCATTTTCCTCACAGCAATTGCTGGGAGAGCTTTCAGAGGTAATAAAATCACTCTTCTGATATTGAACTTCAAAAATTACTCTTTTGGACTATATAGTCACCAGATTCTGTAGTGCATGCTCGTTTTGTTTGTAGCAATGAGTGGTGATGAGTGTGTGGATGTCCTCAAAACATCTGGAGTTAAAAGTGCTAAAAAAGGAAATGTTAAATGCTATTTGAATGTATAATTGGCTTTTGGGCACTGTTCAACAAAATGTGGAGTGTATTTCAATGTGGCTTCATCTGAAAATTTAGAACATGAGTGATGTTTCCAGTTTAATTTGTATTTTCACTCCAGCAAGTTGATTTGATGAGGCTTGTGATTACAGTACAAGATGTTTTTGAAACTACATCAGTAGCATCCATTGAGAGCTATGTGTAGTGTTTAGCTATCCCTTCTTCTGGATTGTGATGGTGGTGATGTGCAGTTGATGCCTTGGTTTGTAATGAATTCTCTCTACCATAAAAAAAGCCCTGCTTTTTCCTTGCATTTTGTTTAAGAAGGGGCATACATGAGGGTACGTTGTGGGGATAAAAGTCTAGCAATTAGAACCTGTCAACAAGATTAAAAATATAACTGAATATCATTAGAACATTTTAATATCTGTGAAATTTTGAAATTCATTAAGATTTTGGGTATACCATATAATAAATTATGGTACATTTAATATGTACCTAGTAGGGCACTCTCCACAAAAGGGCAAGTTTCTTAAATATACATTATTCTGCTTGTTCTCTTTCATATTATGCATTTCACTTTTCTTGGCATTTGACATTTAAAAAAGCATTTATTGTCTTAACATGGAAGTAGTAGAATACAAAAAAAGTCAATCATATGATTTTTTTCTAATCTCCCCACAATGCACTGCACAAGGTGGACACAAAATAGTTGAGATGAATGCCTGTGAACAATTAAATGCTGAGGAAAAAGAAAAAAAAAAAAAGGTTTTTAGGGATTGTATTGCAAGGCTCTATGTTTGCTTCAGTAGCTGACTACTACAATGTGAGTAAAATTTATCTAAGGGAAACGAAAACCTTTTTTTCCTACACTTAATTTTAGAAGCTGATGGGATAAATTTTCTGCAGGTGTAACTCAACATAGCTTAGCTGTAATGGTCCTAGTTTATATTCACTACAAAACACCTTGTCCATCCTTTAGACTTACTGAGTTTGGGACTCCTGTATAAGTGCAGTTCCTGACATTTAATGAAAATTTGATTGTTGTCAGGGCACTGTTCTGCTGCTCAGATTCTACCATATGGCTCCTACAAATATTTCCCCACTTGGTCTGACATAAACCTTCTGCCTCCAAGGAATTAAGGAAAGTTATTTCAGGAAGGAGCAATGAATCTGAGGAATGTACTCATCTATTTTCATACCAAAGTAAGCAGACATCTCATAACTAAGAAATGAGGCATCCCTATTGAGCAAACAAACTTTAACATTAAACTTTCAAGCTGTTAGTCGAGGACAGCAGAGGGAGCACTGATGAAACGTGAAGTTTGAACTGTTGGAAAGAAAAGGGTAGCATAGGTGGCTTATGAGTTTGTGTTTGTCTGTCATTGGGATTGCTTTGGGAAAACACATGGATCTTCCATTAACTTGTGCCATTCTAAGGGCAAAGGAGAAAATAAATTATTCTCCTAGATAATCTTGAGACACTTGCTGCTAGGTAGTTATTAGCAGCAAGATAATTTGCATGTTGTTAGAACATTATGTGAAGTGAGGGAAAAGAAGCAATATCCCTATTCCAAGAATTGAAGAGTTTGGGGGTTGGGGTTTTTTAATTGGATTCTTGTAATTAGGTGACATGTAGTGACCACACAAATAGCTGAAAAGACACAACCAGAATGGATGGCAGGAGCAGGAACCTCTTAAATGGTGTCTGCAGTTCAAGAAACAGCATGTTATCCTAACCTCAGTGACATTTGTGAGTTAAGCCATTACTCAGGCTGAGTTGTGGCTGGGTACGTTCTTTTTTCACTATTTTTTACATAACATAGGGTGGGTGGTGACACAGGAAGAGGTTGCTCAGGGAAGTTGTATATGCTCCATCACTGAATGTGCTTGAGACGGGTTGAACGGGGCTTTGAGCTACTGGTCTGGTGGGAGGCATCCCTGCCCAAACCATTCTAGGATATAACATCTCTAAAATATTGCTTTACACTGCTAATGGCCAATAATTCAAAAATTTTGGAAGCTATCAGAAAGTGCCAGGTAATAGAAGTTGGGAATTAAAATCAGTTTCATTAATGGAACTTACCTGTTTGAAAGAAGCATGTTTCAGATTATGCCATTACTGTGAATTTTGTGTCCAACAGAGAAAGCTACTGATGCCAAATCAAGTTTTGGCAAATTTGGGAGCTCTGTCTGGCAAGTGAGATGTCTTTGTGTAATAAAGGCAATAAGTCGTTGCAAAGCATCCCAGCATTTTCTGCAGAAACCTGAGCTTGTCCCATGTCTTCTCCAAGTTTCCTTGCCAAACTGAATCTCTCTGCATCCTTTCAGAAACAAAGGACAGACTACATTGCAAAACAGCCCGATCCGGTTCCTGCTACCCCTTCACCGCCTCCGACGCCCGCTCCGGTTCCTGCCGCCGTGCAAAAAAAACCAGTGCCCCAGCCCCTATCCCGGTGCCCGTGCCCAAAGCCCCGCCCGCCGTCAGCCGCCAGAGCAGCACCTCTAGCGACAGCGCTGGCAGCGTCGCACGAGACACCCAGAGGCAGAAGCAAGTTCCTGTGGATCGTAAGTTGGCCTAAGAAGCAAGGAAGAAAAGTTTCCTCCATTCCTTTGTGTTGTGCTTAATCCTTAAATTCCTTGTATTTCAGATAAATGTTTCTGCAGTATTTAGGTTTAACCCTACGTTTAAATTACACATTTCCTACATATGTGTGTGCTGACCCTGGCTAATCATGATAGTAAGTAGGGACAAAAAACTTCTGCACTTGTCCCAGTCCCAAATCCTCTCTTTTAACGACTGTCTGGGACCTTCAGGCGGTGGTTTGCAACACTGTAAAAGCCCGTGCTGGTATTCTGGCTAGTGTACGTTTTGCACCTGAACTCATGGCACATGGCAATCTAAATTGCATTTAAAATCAGCTAGGCTCTTTTAATACTTCTGTCCATGGTCATCCATGTTTCCAGGGCATTTTCACCATTCTGAAACATGTATCCAAGGCCTGCAAGAACACTTACAGGTCTGGCTGGTGCATAGGAACCAGATTGTAACTGTGGTGTAGGAGACTTGTCTCACAATCAGAGCCACTTAACTTGGTCAATGCAACAAGCACTGGCAGGCCACTGAGCAGATGTTTGTGTCCTGGTCTTAGGCAGATGTGAGAACACACTCCATAACCCTTTAGCTGAAAAAAAAATGGTAACCTGCATCCAGCAGTGTGTGGCAGTCATGAAAATTTGTAATTAAGGCCAGCTTGTGAATATGAAGTCTAAATGATGCTGGGGCTCTTACTCTGTATCCACTGAAAAGCAAGCTTCATTAGGAGAATTTATTTAGTCACTAATTTCTGTTCTAAATACACTTGAAGCTATGTGATTTCTTGGCTTTAAAAATATGGAAACCTAGACTTTTCCTACAGGCAAGCATTTGCTATAGCTATTAAAGTAATGGCTGTTGAAATGATGAGGTTTTTGCAGTCCAGGAGCTGACAGCTTTTCCCATCCCTTGCCTTATCTGGAAAATCCCACTTCCACCTGAGGTAAAACTGGCACAGAGCTTAATCCTTTGTGCAGAAGGGATTCCCTCCCCTCTGTCCCCAGTGGGTGGGAAGCTGCCTGTGTGGATAACCACGCTGTCGGTGGAGCCTGCTTTGACGTTACCTGGTAGTTGATGAGCTATCACCTGAGCTCTGAACTTGGGAAGACTCTGGGAGCTTTTTAATATTTTCACATAACAAGACTTACTGTCTGGAAAGTATAGGACAGCCTGGCAGAAGGAACAGGCTTCACTGACATTTGTCAAAGAAAGAGTAGGGCCAGCTTCTACATTTGTCTTCTTTTGGGCAGTTTATGACTTAAAACAGAAACCTGAGAAGTTATAAAAGATGTGGAAAGTGGGTGAATTTCACACACATGCACAAAACTAATTGTTTTATTTCCATGTAAGGACTGTGCATGCTGTAGCATGTGTGTTGCCTTGAATCCACAATGGCCTTCTCTATCCATTACAGATGGAGCATGTGAAGACTATCTTGGTTTCAGGTACAGGGTATGAGGTTTGAGGGGCTGCTGTAGATTAAGTGGTTAAGACAAGACATCTCTTGCCCTCTTACTTGCCACTGGGACCCTGAGCCATGCACGATTGCTCCTGTGCCCTCCTGGGAGCTGTCACTCAAGCCTAGTTAAATGAGCCTTCAAGGTATCTCACAGTCCTCATGAAATAGCCGCCTCTAAAAAGGTAATGGGCAGCCCTGCCTGGACACCTGCTGCCCAACTACCCACCTGAACCCAGCAGAGAACATGCAACACAGGACCTCCTTCACACTGAGGGTATCCTATTTATGATAATGCATCTAAAACCAGTAAGAATCTGTTATCTAACAGCTAAATACTTATCTTTTGATATAGTCTTGGCCTAGATACAACTGTGTAAATAGAAGGAAGATAGTGATTTTCCTGCTATCTTCCTCTGGGAAAATAACTGATGCATGCTTCAATAACATTGCCTAAAGGCTTTACTTATATATCCCATCTCAAACCTTCACTTATCCCTGAGCACATGTCATTTGGCTTCTGATTCACACTCTGGGACAAAAAAAACCCCAACACAATAGAGCTTGAATGCTTCAAATATTTTACTAGAGATATTTTGTCCACTTTCAACCTGGGGCTGTTCTGTAAAAGAAAAAAAGAAAATGGCTAATCCCAGGATTTTTTGTTGTGGTGATGCCTGAAGAAAAAAATAAATCCTAAAAGTCAATGTAAAGCTTGTTTATTTTGTCCAACGGGCTAGAGATGTTGATTCTTGGAGAGGTTTTGGAAGAAGATAAAAGGAAAGTGGAGAAAAAAACATATTTGCTATCTTAGTTTTTTTCATATTGAAGTTGTGGTTTTTTTCTCTGTTGCTATCAGTGTAGTGGGAGAAAAGGAACTGCTTTTGCCATCCCAGTGCACCAGAAAAGGTGCCTTGGTTACTGTTTGTGTATCAAATGAGAAGGCTGAATAAAGGTGACTAAAAATACGACGGCAAGAAAATCTGTAGAATTTTTTATGTCACCTAAACTTGTGTGATAAAGTATTTTCATAGTAATTCCAGAGTTACCACATGGAGAGTTTACTTGTGCTAAATCAGTATATTCTCTGTACCCAAACCCACAGATTTACAACCTTTCAGATTCTACCTATTTTTGTGAAGTTATCCATAGACCTTTTTTTGTGTGCATTTCAAAGAATTTTGAGCGTCATTGTAATTGTTTTTCTTAAAAGGCATGAAAAGCATTTCTGTTTGTTGTCTAATGACCAGCAACAGAGCTCAACCCTTCAGACAGAGGGGTTCTGTAGGGTAGCGAATTTGTACAGTTTTATTTACAAAAGCCTTGGAGTGAATTTGAATTTCTTTAAACCCCTTCAAAAACGTGATTATTATAATAGCTTATTAGATGTAAGGTGGTGCCTGTCAGAAGCAGGGAAATTTTTTTGCCTACATTGATTTACACTAAAAAGTTGAGCTTTTGATGAAAAGATGTTTGTAGGAAGTGCCGCCTTTCTACATTGTAAGCAATCTTACATTCTTCCTCATAATTTTTTGTTCTCATTTTAAAAAAACATTGTAATTCTGTTTGAAGAAGCACAAAGCATGACAGTTGAATAAAGTAACCTTGGGAATGACTGCTGTGGGGCATCTGTCTCCAGGCAGGAAATCGCAGATGGAGGAGGTGCAGGATGAGCTCGTTCACCGCCTCACCATCGGCCGCAGTGCTGCCCAGAGGAAGTTCCACGTGCCACGACCAAACATCCCAGTGGTTAACATCACTTACGACTCTTCCCCTGAGGATGTGAAAGCATGGTTGCAGTCCAAAGGATTCAACCCTGTGTAAGTTTGAGGGCTAATAGGAGAAAACTTCTTGAAATTATTTTCCTGTCAGTAATGAGGATGTGGTCTGCCTGCTGTTTAAAATCAAGCAGGCTTCTGAAAATCACGTGTCACCTGCACCCTTGGAAAAAATAAATTGTTTTTACATATATATACATATGCATTTATGTATATATGTAATATATGTATCCATATACATCAATGTGGCTATAGGCCTATATAGATATTTTTTTAGAGGAAAAAAAAAAATTACATGTATTAGCTTCCACTAAAAGGCACTTGCTTTAACTGAATTAACTACAAGAGTCCTGTTGCATTAAATTTTGTCTTAACTTAGTAGCCCTATCTGAGACAATGCAGGATGAAACCAACCTACTTCTCTCCCTTGGCTAGTGCATTTTACTTATTTCTTGTTTGTTCCCTTGTTACCACAGGACTGTAAACAGCCTTGGTGTGCTGACGGGTGCTCAGCTTTTCTCTCTCAACAAAGAGGAACTGAGAACAGTTTGCCCAGAAGGATCTCGAGTCTACAGCCAAATTACGGTACAGAAATCTGCCTTGGAGGTATGTGTAACCCTTCGTATTAACCTCATGCCAGGTCACCACTTCTGAGCCTGTAGAAGTAAATAGCTCTTTCTAGATATAAGTGCACATATAGATATGTAAAAAGCAAACATTTACCAACACTACAGCTGCCAGTATAAGTCTCACAGTTACATCAGCTGTTTCTAGAACATAAAATCCAAGATGAGCTACTCTTGAAGTGTTAAGAGAGGGAGGCAGCTGTTTCAGTTCTCATGCTGATAAGCATTAGTTGTACCTGAGTTGTTTGGTATTCACCCCTTGAAACAGCATCTGTCAAAACACCAGGTGGGTTCTCTCCACACTTCTAAAGGGGTCCACGTAGCCTTAGATAAAGTGCATGGTAGTGCTCAAGTTTAAGACATTGTGTGCTATAATCTGGCTGCAAGAAGACAAAATGAGCCAAAATGGGCTTTGGGGGAAACAACAGAGTAAAATGTGCTTTTTTATGCTTCTTGCTGTGCCTCATACTTGGACAAACAGGTATTCCTGGTACTTTTATTGGCAATGAGTTAGTTTTGCTTTATCTTTGCAGAAGAGATTTGATTTATTCAGCATGAGAAGACGATAGGGTGAGCTCAAGCTGTTGAATCTCCAAGCCTTTCAGGTCCAAACACTGGCATTCCCATCTAAGTGAGGGAAGGCACCGTGTCAGCAGAATGACTGAGCTAAGGGTGAAAGTGTTGTACCTCTGTGTTTGTTGCTCTGTGGCAGTTTTAATTACAGGTAGTATTGTTCCTTAAACCCCTTAAAACCTTGTATACAGAGCTGTGCTAGGGAGAATACTTATCAATTTTAAACCATGAGAACTGCAGGTACATCGACTTCATTTCTCCACTTGTCACAGCAAGGCTTTTTTATAAAGGACTTGATACTGCCTAGAGTTGACACCCAAACAAGAAGCTATATTCTTCATATCCTGTTTGAAAGAGAAACTTGCTTGCTTAAATGACTTTAAGCTTTAACTACCCAGGAGTATTTTTAAAGACAAATTTATGATGATGCATATTTTACAATCTATGTGATCAGTGTGATTTAACTTTTATTCTTAGGAATATACATCACTACAGCCCAGAGCAATCCATCATTTCCTAGTGAAGATTCATGTGTATGCTTCAACTTGAATGTCAACAGTCTTATTTCAGTTTGATAAGGCTTCTGTGTACTGAGATGGAAGTGCCCGTGTGGTGGAAGTTGGTTTGAAAGGCAGAGATGCAGAAATCTGTCCTTTTTTCTTCCCTGTGCTGTTATTCTGCTTGACCCAGGTCTCTGTCTGCAGGAAACTGAGCAGTCAAAACTTGTCTAATAAACGCTCTATAAGTGTTAATACACCGGTAGGGATTGTTTAACAACATCTTTGGCTTTTGTTAGTGAAAAGGTGATTTAACTATTTATTTCTGCCTCAGATGTTTGAGGTTTAACTGATGAATTTCAGAATTATGCAATTCCCCATTGCTTAGCCTGCTGTTTGCCAAATTACCAAGGCAACTTAAAACATTAAGTTGCATCTTCTGTCCCTGTAATATTTCAAGTCACAGGGTTTAAGAGGAGGAGTGTCACAGCCTGTATTTGACCTAGTGAAAGTGAGCTTGCAAGTTCCAAACAGGGCTGTTCTTACTGCTCAAACTAAATGCTTCTAAGAACAGAAGCATTTCAGCACAGACATACTTGTACCAGTGTCAGGCCTATTTTACAATTGAATGCTTTTTATAAGCAGTTACTGGTTTATGGGTTTGACCACCATAATTGTCCTACCTGATTAATCAATCAGTGATACATTTTCATGAAGTTCTCTGGTATCCTTTATGGAGTACTTGTGGTCAAATATTGCAGTAAATGACCTGGGTGTTAAGTACAAATAACAATAATAGCCAGAGACGGAGCAAACCCACACACTCTCCAGCACTACAGAACTCATCTTTACTTGTTATTTCTACTTCTGCTCTTCTACAAGTGTTTCTAGACTTATACCATTCCTGCAAGGCAGTGAAAGGCCTGCCTCTCAGATTTGGGGCTGCATTCCCAAACAGCGACAACCACCTTCACCTTTATGCAGCTGCAATTTTCTTTTTAGTGTTCTTCTACCACAGGCAAAGGAATTCAATATTTTGTCATTGGAATTCCAATTGTTCTTGGAATTTAGTAATTTTACCCTTACAAGGAAAAAAATTAATAGATACTATTCTTTCAATTATTCTACCTTGTTTTCATGTTAACTGTATTCAGCCCTGTATTCACACCAGAGTTGAAAATATCCAAGGCAGCAAGACTCCTAATGGAGTTTTGTGGCCCCTGTATAAACATGACCAAGTGACAGACTGCAAGTGTGGGGAAGGTATTTGGAGTCTGACAGCTTTCTGGGCCTGGCCAAGTGAAAGCAGAAAGATAACTGTGAAAGACAGTGTGTCAAGACAGCAGAGAGCTGGCCATAGCCAGGGCCAAACTCCCTCTTTCTGCCAGAGGAGATGGTGGTGGCCAGCAGCAGTGTCTCAGGAAGAGGCAGGATGTACCACACTCGTTCTGCTCATCAGAGCATCCCTCTCAGGAGCTGTTTTCTGAGGCTGCTCCAGAGAGCAAGAGTTCCTCTCCTGTGCCAGGTACGGTGCATTACAGCAACTTGGCTGATCATATATATTTGCTTTTTCATTGTGAAGTGAAAGCATTTAATTTATTTTTCATTGAGTATTTCAAGCTCTAGTGTTGAAAACCTCCCCTATGAAGACAGACTGAGAGAGTTGGAGCTGTTCAGTCTGGAGAAGAGAAGGCTCCGAGGGGACCTTATTGTGGCCTTCCAGTATCTTAAGGGTACCTACAGGAAAGCTGGGGAGGGACTTCTTAGGATGTCGGGTAGTGACAGGACTAGGGGGAATGGAGCAAAAGTAGAAGGTAGATACAGATTAGACATGAGGAAGAAGTTCTTCACCATGAGGGTGGTGAGACACTGGAACAGGTTGCCCAGGGAGGTGGTGGAAGCCCCATCCCTGGAAGTTTTTAAGGCCAGGCTGGATGGAGCTCT